TAGGTGGTGCAGAAGTCGAGATATTTGGGAAATCTATATTTGTGATGCGCTTGACACTCAATATTTAAAAGAAAATTTCATTAATGTTGTGCTTATCATGGTTGTCGTGTTATTAATTATACTTACGATTTTTAAGCTTGTTGTAAGGCTTAACTACGGTTGGCAGACTTAGTGCTTTGGTCCCAAAGTGGTAGATTATTTCTTCGATGGTACTTTGGTACCTTTTTCCCTAAAACGATACTTTCTTCATCCAATTAATAAATTTTATTTTAATATTGCTACTGAGCTTTCTACCACGGTTATGTTTATTAGAAAAAAAAATGGACAAATAGATAAATTTAAGTTTTTGATTGGAAATTTTATCATAAAACTAAGTAACTTGACGAAGATTTTAACTTCAGTAAAGCAGAAACCCCAATGAAAGAAAATTGAAGTAAATGCTTTTTCCCACGAACCTTAAGGTGCGAAATATTTTATAAAAATTGATTTCATAAATTTGAAATGCATTATTTCGCGCTGAACCAGTAGCGCTGAAATGATTTCGCCTTTCATTTTTATTCCTTTCTCAATATAAATGACAAATTTCGAAATTATAAGAATTCTCCTTTTATTTGTAAGATAACAGTCAATCTGGAAACGCTTGGGGCAACGTCGCTCGTAGTTGCACCAAGGGTTTAATTTTGAAATGAAATAATGCCATAACAAGCACCATACGAAGCTGCACATCGACGAAGAGCCCGTTGACCGGAGACCGTGGAGCCAGCAGGTTGCCAGCGGAGAGGAACGGGACAACATACTCTCGATATACGCGTCAGACTCCGGAACGGATTCCCGAACCCGCCGCCCTGAAATAGAAGAGGGCGAAATAATTGAGCTCGTAGCGGAAGTGAATTTCCCAATATCGACGGGGGGATCGGAAACCCGGACTTTCCGACTCCCGTTAGCACATAAAAGGCGACAACATCAACGGGCACCGCAGCGTCGCGGAGCGGAGACTCGGTCTTTCCGCCGGCGATCCATACGCAAAAAGGCTACCGGTCAAGAAGGACAACGTCAACGGGCACGGCAGCGCTGCGGAGCGAAGACTCGGTCTCTCCGCCCGCGGTTCATACGTAAAAGGGTTTCCCGTCAAGGAAAACAGCGACAGCGCCGTGGAGCGGAAACCGGGACTTTCCGCCCGCGGGACACAAACAACGCGGCCTCAAGACGCGATGAACGATGGGGTGGGCTGGTGACTCGGCCTCGCCAGCTACCCGTCGCCTTTAGAACCGGCCAAGTAACGCTAACCTCTCAGGGCTTGAGACCATTTACGGCAATTTCCCCTACAGCCATAGTACAGATAGAATCTAGAGGACGATAACACCTCATACGCGCCTTAATTGGTGTGTGCACGCCACCGTCTATAATATCGGCTAGTCTGAGAATTGGGCTTGAAGGAGAGTGGATTCGGGCACCAACGAAGCTGCATGATTCGACTGAGAGGGAAATATGGGCAAAGCGCCAGGCTGGCGATCCACGCAGCAGTAGTCGGTAACTACGTGCAGCTAAGCCTTTCCGCTAGCGTCGACCGCTCGATAGTCGCGGCATACAACAATATTCGCCTGGCAGACCTTAACTTCTTCACATCGACCCCAATCCGCTTGCTGGTAGGAGCAAACGCCTACACGGAGATCGTTCTGCCGGGCACCCTGCGTACTTCCTTCGGTCCTCTCGTGGCACAAAACAGCATATTCGGCTGGCTATTGTCAGGAGCTTGCCGATATTCAACTATGTATGACTGATATGTAGTTTTTTTTTTATACTATACCATTTATTTACTTTTGTTCCAATATGAATTATGGAAACAAATGTTATTTATTGAAATTTGAATAAATATATACGAAATTTGTGCACTGACACGCTCACCAAAAAATGGCAGCTGCGGATCCAGCTTAAGGAAAAGCAATAATGCTAATAATTTTATAATCCTTTTATTTTATTCATAGGTAGAGGTAATGGCTGAATCGCTCTACTGCTGTTGCGTATAGCAAGGGGGCCGGCATGTTTAGGCCTCCAGGCTCAACCAAATGATTAAAGGGTGAACCACCCTAAAGTGCACTTACATGCAACCGAGCGCACACACATACATACATATGTATATATATGGCCAAATAATTGCTACGCCGTTAGCAAATACACATGAATGTCCTTTTTCCGTTTGAATAAGGTTTCGTTAAGTTTCTCTCCAAACAGTTGTCTGCTTGGCGGGTAAACTTATTTCTATTAAAAACGAGCTCGGCCATTTCTATCGAGCACCTCAAATGCGCTTAATGGAAAAACATATTTTTTAAGTTAGGATGGTATTCTATAAAATGGGCGACATATTTATGAGAGGAAAGCATTTACTTTTTTGTTAATATTAAATTTTAAGTTGTTTTGTTATTTTTACTTACTCTTCTTAAAGTTTAACTTTGAATAAAAGAGAAACAGGAATTTTTTTTAATGTAAAAAAAAAATTAACAGTTTCTAAATAAAATAAAAAAATAAGAAAGATGATACTTATAAATCGAAAATGTTACTTTTTTCTAAATTTTGGTACTAACAAATTGTTTAAAGTTGCAACCGTGGGCATAACATAACATAGGCAGATTTTAAAATAAATAAATGTATGAAAACATGCATACTCATTAAGGAGAGCTGCCACCTGTTTAAGAAAATCAAATGCAAGAAAATTATTTTTAAAAGGGTTGCCATCTGCTTGAAAAGTCGAGTATAAATTAATTATTCGAAAGCTGTATGAAAAATTTAAATATGGGTGGCAATCGAAAGATTTTTAAGAAACCTTTACTTAGAGCATTTGGAATATTAATGAGGTGTTTTACAAAGACTGATAGGGACCCATGTTCGTTGATTCGACGACGTCTATTTCGATTTGTTCTACAGTGCTTCCGATGTAACAAAAATTCGGTGTTTGTACGAGTTTTATTAAATGCTTTTTTCCTTGTAACTATGTATTAGTTTTTGTAAAAATTTGTATAACTTATACATGAATAAAAATAATAAACTGTCCGGTCAAGTAACGTTGAGATTACTGAGTAAAATAACTAAAATCACGTTTTTCAAGTAGTGTAATAAAACCTTAAAATAAATTAATAAAACTATAGAACACACTTACGGCTATTCTGTATCAGTGACAAATTCTTGTCACAGTTTTTATCACAGAAAAACACATATATGAAAAAGTTAAATTTGTCAGTAAAAATAAAATTTTCACAGATACAGAATTAGGCTATTAATTTCTTAATTAAAATTGTTACTTTAAACAAGAGACACAGAGGTCAATCTTATGTTCACCGCATATGCTTTTTGTGCAATTTGCACACTAAGACTTTGTCATTCGCGTTTATATAATTGAAAAAAATTTGCAGATCTTTGGAAATATGAATGCAGTTGTCTGTCGACTACAGGATTTCCTCAGTCGCAAAAAAAGAGAAATTTGAACAGAATTGTCATTCGTGATGGTAAATCTGGCACACACTTAAGTAACACAGGAGTTCTTCTTTGTCGAAACACGGTTCGGCGTTTCCATACTTCAACAGCTTAGCAACGACTAATGCTACAAAAAGCATTTTCTCAAAACTATGACAGCTAATATAAAAGAAAAAAAATTATAAAAATTTACGTCGTCGATACGACGAAAAAGTGAAATGGTATTTTTAATCTACCTTTAGGAGAGTGTAGAATCTAACAAGTTATTACAAAAGCTCAGGGGAAAAAATTATCTCGGTACTTAAGTACCTGGAATCTGAGAGACGTATGATGGGTGGTTAAGGGCGGTATTATCACTTGCGAAGCGAATGAATTTGGCGAAGCGAACGGTTTGGCGAAGCGAATGGATTGACGGACGCAACTTAAATATGCATTAAGAGTGTTCTTTTTTACCAGCTTGTGGAAGTTCTTTGCATCGCGAACACCTTTAATGCCTTCCCTGCCCTTAAATTCGCTCCGCCAAACCGTTCGCTTCGCCAAAATCATTCGCTTCGCAAGTGATAATACCGCCCTAAGTTTTATAGTTTTGAAAAGCTTAGTTGACCACCAAACTCACCATAAAGCTTTAGTCCAATTTGGGAATTGCCGATACGCAAAGAAATCCAGTAATAACAGTCAAACTTGGCAAAATATTTTTTAAGGCCGAAATAAAAGTCTTTTCCTAATAATAAACAAACCGCTTATACAAGTTAAAGAAATTTGATATCAACTGAACGAAGGCTGAAATAGCTTTAAAACTGAAATTTCCAAACAAAGAATGACACCTATTGAAAGATTTTTCAATTAAAAATTTTATTAAATTACCGTACATCAAAGCTTGGGTCAGGTATATGAATTTATTTTTTATAGAAAAGATAATACTTACGTGGATAATATCATTTATATTTTTGCTTGTTTATTTATTATTAAGAAATAATCTCATTTTTGTTGTTGGTATTTCCGACAGGGTAGGAGTGTGATGTAATGTGGAACGATTTTCCGTCATCCCTTGTCAAATTTGGTTTGGAGACAAACCGGTTTCGGCGTTGTGCCATCTTCAGTGTCATTTTTCGTGAAATAACACTGAAGATGGCACAACGCCGAAACCGGTTTGTCTCCAAACCAAATTTGAAAAGGGATGACGGAAAATCGTTCCACATTACATCACATTAAGAAATAACTTTTATTTCGACCTTAAAAAATATTTGGCCAATTTAACTGTTATTACTGGACTAAAGAAACAAAAGTCCGGATTTTTCAGTTATTATTTGACTAGCTCCCAAAGTTTCACACAAACACACAAAATTGCATTCAAGAAAAAGTATAGAAGTTACATTATCACGAAATTGAAAATGGGTGACATTTCACCACAACTTCAAAAGAGGGTTAAATAATTGTGAGCATCAATCTAATTTATCACATAGACTAGCTATCAATGGGCTTTCACCTAACACTCATTATATCTAAAAGTCTCACATGATAGCTCACACTTCGTTTTCACACACTGTAGCCGCAATGCACAGCTGACGTCCACGAGCGCGCGTGTCATCAATTTCAACAGCTATGTCATCTCTGCAACAGACCTCACTCATACCATACGAAGATAGTGAATAACAATTACAACAAAAAGTCTTTGATTCGTAGCTGAATGACAGTAAAGAGTTGCCGCAATGGGTTTTCCAACCAATTAACGTAGACATGAAGACTTGGCAAAAAGCAGGCAAAAGCTTTTAAGGCTTTGATCTGGAAATTAAGATAAGCCACGCTCAATTAAATGCGACGCATTTCTCAATAAGTGTACATACATATATGTGAGAGCATGCGGTATTGAGTACGCTTTTATGAGTTGTTATATGAAATAGCTGAGCGTATATGTACACCACGGCGTATACTTGACGAGACACACTTATGTGTAAGGTGCGCGTGCATAGACCCAGTCGGACTTCGTTGCTTCCAAAATGTATCTACTTATAGCACGGTTCTTTTACCACTGAAAAAGTAATTCCAAAAACATAAAGTCTTTAATTCGCTTTTATACTGGCGTTTTTCATGAGGTGGTTGTTGTTGGTTTGTAGAGCTTTGTAGTTTTTATTCTCGCTCGGATTTATTTGCCGAAGTCAAAGCATTAGAAAATGCTGACTTTAGCCTTCCATAGTAGTGAAAAAATAATGACATTATTTCTTCATGTAGAGTTTTTCTAATTTTCCCTAAAGAATTTAAATGTGCTTCGAAATTCTGGTGAAAAAACCAATACCCTAAAAGGCATTCTTAGGGAACCACATTCTGCGTGGTCCGACTGGGGAAATGCGAGAGCATGTATATGGGGCGTTCCATACCAAAACGGACGGGGTTCACACTTCATGTGTTTGATTTGTTTAAAATTTCTAGGGTTGGTGCATAAATATAAATAATAAATAAATATGAAATTAGAGCTTGATTAATTCATTTTAAAAAACTTTATAGCAAAAAAAACATCGATTTAATAGTTTTCAAAATATCTCAGGGACGGGGCGAGTAAAAATTTTGAAAAAAATCACACATACACACATCAAAATTGTCTATGAAAAGAAATATTTTAAAATTTTTTTTCTCGAATAATTTTTCGCATACAAATTTGTTGATACAAAAAATAATTTTTTACATTAAAATTAACAAATTTTTTAAATTTTGTTTTTTAAATTTTTTTGAGTATGCAGTTTTGTAGCCCAGTATAATAAAGTGCAAGTTTTGAGCGATT